TTTTAGATGTTAAATTTTGAACTGGGTGCAGTGTGACAGCGACGTGAGTGTTATACACCTGATGATGGCCGTCTGAGGCCGAAACATGTAGTGTAGGGAGCAAGATCAAAGACACAAAATATATTGTTTGCACTTGAGACGGAGTTTATATCATTTATCGTATGGAGTGCAACAGGATGCTTAAATATAATATTATTAGGGTGGTCAAAGCATGGGCAGATTGGCAGGGTATGTGGCATACGTGGACAAAGCATAAACATTATGGTTGGAAAACCTGAAGGGAAGAGCTTACTTACGAAACCTAACCACAGATATTAGGATAATATTAAAATGTATCTCAGAGAAATAAGATATTTACTGGGTGTAACTGCCATAGAATTGGGTCAACTTCAGCTACCATAATAAACAAGGAACTTTTTGATCATCTGAGTGCCTATCTGCTTCTCAAGAAGGCCTGTACAACCTACATTAGCTCTCTGTACATAGACTACATATAATGTTAACTGATATTTTAAAAAATGTGTGCCCCAGAAACTAATCACCTCAGGTTTCTTTTCCAAGCTAGGGGTGGTGGTGCTAGGTGGTGGTATTTCTTCTGAACTTTGGGCTACAGCAACAGGAGGTATGGACACTGAGCTTGCAGCATGCTGAGATGCAGAGGAGCTTTGCCGTCCACGACGAGTGCTGCCACCTGTTGGGTAGCAATCAACATATGAGTATAAGTTTCATGCACTAGCTGTGTGACCCAGAAGAATCCGTGACACACAGAACCATCAGATGAAGCAAGAACTTTCCAGGCACAAATCCCATCCCTGTTACAATTAATTGCCCATTTAGACTAAAACTGTCCCAAAATATCAAGTTTTTATTCATTAATGTTGGAAATTTCTTACAATCATGTCTGATTGACTTTTATTTGATGTAAAATGACAAGTATATAACTGTGCATTATACAAACTAGTCTAGAATTAGCAGAAATCTTCATAAACAAGGAAGTGGTTCTCATTTAGTCTTGTGAAATAATAATACATGCTCTGCCATCACAGAATGTGAGGGGACAAACAAACACAGCTAGCACAGAACACACAGATTAAGCGCAGCATGCTGTGGCCTGACAAACGTGGCCAACACAAAAACAGTCACACAGCTACAAAAACGAAAACATACAGCCCAGAGTTTGTATTCAAGGTGCAGGGGTAACTCACTATTGACATTAGCAAGTGTCAAAATGCGGGCTGTAGAAAGCTTTCTCCTGCAGGTTAATCAAATGTACTTTGTAATCATCCTACACCTTCTTCCAGGCACTCCAATTAAGTTAGCATCTGGTCCACATTAATAAAACAGTCAGTGTTGTCAGGTTTCTGTTTCTCCATAGCTGAGCCAACCCATTCCTCCACAGCTGAGCCAACCCAAGTTGCAACAGCCTATTGACCAATGTGTTGCATGCTTGACAGTGCTGGCAATAGCTCCCAAACAGCCAATAATAATTATAATAAAAAAGAATCATAAAATCATAAACATCCACTGAGCCCCTCACAAAGTGAAAACAAAATTTTAAATACAGTAAATGTGAAACTGAAAAAAGGCACAAAAAATCTGCAATTAAAACATGATGCAATATTAATACAAAATTACCAACAATTAGGATGGGTTAAGAATGAAATGCTACTCTGGTTGAACAAAACAGGAAGTGAAGCAAGGATCTAATAGTAGGATAAGGGCACTCACTCAGTCTGATTACAGAAAACTGCAGACTGCTGTGGTTAGGTCTCTTTGCCCATTAACTTAAATGAAACAGCAGACTGCAAGTTTCTCTACACAATATATGTTAGTGCATGAATGATAATAAAGTGGACGAGACATCAATCAGAAGATGTTGCTCGTAATACCACTCAATCATTCAACATGGTGTCACGTCCACTTCAGCTTCAACAGACAGAGTGCCATAGCAGCAACATCCATTCAGATGCTTCTTCCTTATGAGTGATTCCCATTTGACAGAACTCAAATATTGTCACATATCAAGATTTAACAGGATATACCGTACTTACTCAAACTACTCATAATATTACATATTCCCAGGTATGTAAACTATATGCATCATTCTTTTGTAACATTTATATAGGTAACTTGAAGTTAAACTATAGCATCACAAAAGATATTACAGTCATATGTAAGACTGTGAGTAATTCAGTCATGTCACACCAATTCACTTCATCAGTAATGCAGAACAATTGTTAAAAGTTGAAGTTACCTCACTGCCTAAGTACCAGACTTTCAAGGCATTGAGGTAGAGATAACTGCTTTCTATCCTAAAAAATTCAGAGAATCATTTATCCTCAATTACAAATCTGTTAAGAATAACTGTTAACTTGAAAGATATACAATCTGGGTAGTTACTATAGAATCAATGGTATTTTCTCTTGCACTTTTTAGGTCTAGATCACAACAAAATATAAATTCAAAGGAAACAAAGCATGAAAACTGAGCTCACTAAACACTAATTATATTTACATATACATGAATTTAAAAAAAATAAATAAAAATCCAGATGAGACGCATGATATTTCTAAACGTGACTACAGTTGCTGTCATGCACGATAATGTAAAGAAAACGTAAAGTAATCCCTGTGCTTAATTAATTAAACACTGTGTCATGAAGACATATGGGGCAGTGGACGTACAGCTCCATCATTCTTGACCTCAAATTTCCCTTAAAGGAACCAAAATTTATTTTAATCAGACTGTTCAAGCACAATTTCATGAAATATAAAAGAATTTGATAATTCTACTGACCATGTACTTCAATGTGCATACCTGTATTTAGTTCAAACATGTAAATGCATATGGCTGTTATTAATTTCATCAAAACAAAACCTGCCAAACATTATACCCAAACCAACTGCACCCTGAACAGTGGAATGGGTACTCCAGCTTGAAGCACACAGTTTCCAAATGCTTTTCTTTGCAATCTTGAATCCCCAACTAGCCTTGATGTTAATTTAATGAACATACTGTTAATATCACGAATCAGCTGTAGAGCATTATATCACACGGTCATAAATTCTATTATACCACTGAGATACCACAATGCACAGAGGCAGAAATTACTCTAGTTTTGTATTTCATTATACACACACAATTAATTAAAAAACGTTTTGAACGAAATTACATACAACTTTCTGATACAGTATACGTGTCTGTATATTTGCATGTTACAACTCAAGAACTGCTGAACCAATTTTCTTTATATTCTGTATCTGGGAAGATTTACTCAAATGTGTCAACACATGCCAGGCTGGGTTAAAACTGGATAACAACAGTGGAGACATTACCTGCAGACATACGTCCTTTTCTGGGTACGTCACATGTAATTTACTAAAGATTTATTGGAGTGAAAAATTTCTGAATCAAAGTTGTACAGAAAAATGAAATACCTTTTATACCCTGCGCACTTTCTACATTAAGTGCTATGGTTTTCAAAATAACTCAATAAAAGTGAGAGACTGTACCCGATCTGCTACACTCTGCATAGATATCATAACCAGTCTGTATGATGAAATGTTTCTAAGTTTAGTAAACTTCAGCTGAGCTTCAAACAATGTGGACTAAATTTATATTTGCCCACTGGTTTTCAGTTCAGACTTTTCCATACAAATGTCATAAAAATCCACACATGCAACATGGACTGAAATTGTTATCATGACTGTATTCACTTTATCAACACATAAAGGAACACAAAATTGGGCCATGACATAATGTTGATTCATAATTCAAGAGGATAAATTCTCCTTGTCAGAATTAGAAAATGCAGACGATACATTAGTAAATAATCAAAGGTAAGCAGGCATTGACAAGAGAAACAATGATTATGCACCAGACTAATGAAAGTTCTAAGAGTCTGCAGGTAATTTCATGTTGAGTATGAAATGACACAAATATCTACTTCACATGCAAACTGTACTGGCAAATATAGAATGATCTGACACTGTCCATTGTGACTCAAATGTATACGATATCTTTATATGTTTCAGTCAGTAAATGACCATCCTCAGAAAGTACAACATGTTGAGGAAACTATTATTACATTGTTCATAGCATATCAAATTGAATCAAAGTTTTCTAAATAAAGATTTTAATTAAGACAAATTTTTGTTGAGTTAAAAATTATTAAAATTCTTAATATTTAAAACCTTAAACCACCAAGGTTCCTGTCTTCATGCCTCTTCCATCAAAAGGAACTTGAACCTTAGCAGTATAAGATTTTAAATATTAAGAAGTTTAACAATTTTTAACTGAACAATCTGTCTTAATTACAATCTTGATATATAAAATTTTGATTCAATATGATGTACAACCAAAGTAATAGTCATTTCCTCAACATGTTGTTGTGCCTTCTGAGGATGATCATTCACTGACTGAACCATGTAAAAGCATCATAAAAATATACATTTGAGTCACACTGGATGGTGTCAAATCATTCTATAATATCTGACTAGTGTGATGGACCAGAATGAATAAAGTTAAACTTGTACTGGCAATATTCCTGATTAAATTATATACATGAAAATATGTGGACCCCACATATTACATCCTTACGTTAAATTTTCAATGCTTAACAGCTGAAAACCACAGAGACGGAACAATTTATGAAACGAATGATCACTCCTGGGTGACCAGATTGGACAGACAGCACATGCCATGTCCAGTTAAATGAATGAAACACACTATAAAACCATGTAAATCTTTATATTAAATATGACAATCCTAGTAAGATATACACGTAACAGTTCAAGTTCCTTTTTTCCTCAAAAAGCACTACTTCATGGATGTTGCTGACAATCAAGAGGGTGGGGTTAGACTGGGGTGGAACCCCCCAGTAAACTGCACTCTGCCACATCCCCACCAACAAAATCCAAGAACTCCAAGCCACACCGCATATACCAATTTTGGAATGTGCCAAATAAGAGCTACAAGAGGAGAGAGAGATAAATGCTATACTAAAAGGCAATGAATCATTATGATGTGCACATTTGAAAAGAGATAACGAGCTTCTGTTGAGAAAACATCTTTACAGAGTGAAATGCTACAGTAGTACTCAGATGTAGAACCATTTCACAGCATACGGCAGAGCTTCCTTATCAGCGGTTCCTTTTCTTAACTTCCAGTTCTGTCCTTCAGTTCACAAGTGCCTTGTATTAATGCAGAAAAACCGGCGACAAATACACGGTATCTAACTATGTAAAGGACAAAATAATACGAACAGTTTCTGGAACTCATGTGCACAAAGAAGGAAAAAAATAAATATGGATACTTTTGATGATAAAGGAATATTCAAACTGATGGTGAGACATCACATGTTAATTACTCTGTCAATCTGAAGACAGGCATCAAGATGATAACAAAGGAATCCGCCACACTGAATGAATGTGCAAATGAAAGATGTGATCTCAATACAACTGACACCAAAACACACAAACCCATATTCAGGAAAGGGAAATGGGAGTAAAGGTGTGCAAGATATTAAAATGTCCAGACCAGAGAACATCAGGTATGGGAAGGTAACAATTCTAATGCCAGCAGGAAGTTAAGTTAAAATTCAGCATTGCCCAAACACAAGAAAACAAGAAGAAACTGTATTAATGCTGTTCAAACCCAAAAGAAGGAAAAGACGGTAATGGTGTTGAAACTCAAGTAACTGCTTCAAACCCATGAGGAAGGAGTTGCCAGTCCCAAGGTGAAGAGGACCAAACCCAAGTATTTGCACGTGAAGGGGTTAAGTAATTCGGGCAGGCAGGTGGGCGGGCGAGTGGTTCCGAGAGGCAGCATGTGAGCGTACCGGGGGTCTTTAGGAAGGTGAGGTAACTGTCCTGGAACTTGCTCCAACCTGCCGCTGCTCCTGGATCTGCGGTGGCCTGTGATTGTGATGCCACCACTGGTGCCTGCTGCACAAGTTGCTGTTGCTGCTGTTGTTGCTGCTGCTGCTGCTTCATGCTGGGGGAGGCCCCACGGTCTACTGACCCCATCGAACCCCCCTCGGGGCCTCCCATGCCACTGCTGCTACAATCCTCATCATCACGGTCCTTGTGTGAATGAGTGTAGTGGTAGGTGAGTCCCGGACGAGTCTTGTAGCGAGCTCCACACACTGCAACAAACTCAGCCTACAGTTCAAGGCCATGACTGGCCCAATAAAAACGACCTTCATTCAGCATTAGTACTTGAAACTCCATAACCACAACATTAAAAAAAAGGGAGCAACACCAACATGGAGGTTTTGCTACCAAGAGATGTGGTGCAGTGACATCCCTCTGTATTCCCTTTCTACCAGACGATGTAGATCAAGATGAGATGTTCTACTCCACATAGATGAATTTCTCATGCCAGGGAGAGTTTTGCATCTGAAACTGTACACTTTGCGTGCAATGGGAAAGAAAGCCGAACCTTTCTTATGTAGTCCTACAAGAAAGAACAGGGAACTAAAAACATCAAAGGTAACCCTAAGTAGGCACATAAGCAAAAGCAAAGGATCCATCACCCAACTACAGTGATTGAAGAAAAAATGTGATGCATCAATTTCAAGTTCTTGCCTGAAACATATTTAGGAGCCTCAAATTATTCTGTCATGTCGCAGCATTTGGATTGGACTGCAACGCTGCCACTTTTTCTTCAATTGTGTGCACAAGTAGCAATAGCCTCCACCATACAACATTCAGTATAGTAGCATAAGCCGAGATGCAAGAGGCAAGGGCAGCGAGATGAAGCTGTTGGTATATGAAGCAACTCAAATGAAGAGAAAGTGAAAAGAGCCAGAAAAAGAGAGCATGGGGGTAAGCCTGCCACTCTACATCATGTACTGTCTACAAACAATTCAAAACTGCTTATGTATACTTCATCGAAATCTGGAAAGCTCTTACGTCTACACAACGATCATGGTGACATGACCATTTTCATGCATGAATGTCCAAAATTCAATCATGAAACATCAGTGAAGAAAAGCGATCATCAGACATATACATGGCAGTGAAAAAGACTGCCACACTGTCTATGTGTCACTTTGGAAGCATCTCTTTCATGCATGAAAACATGTAACGCTCTGAGTCCGATTTGTTCTGTTCTGAGACCAAAACTAATAACTATCCCATCCCAACCATTGTTAGATGTGTTAAAGGTGAACTTACGTTCACAGGAGAAAGGCTTCTCTGCATCAGTCAATGCATCATAATTGGTTTTCTTGCGCCCTCGTCCAGGCCCCTGTAAGCACATTTTGTCTGATGTGATAAAAATTCAAAAATATCCAGAGATCATATACTTCAGCTGTCCTTCCAGAGGCTTCCTGTTAATTGTAAGTTCTTTATCAAACTACATCAGCTGAATTAAATAAAGATGTTCCATGCTAACTTGGTCTCAATTAACTACAAAATCTTCACAAAGAACACATTTACAGCTAAATAATGGAGCACAAATTATTTTATGGGGGGCTAATTAGCCCAATAAACAGAGTATATCACAGGTCAGCCCATCACTGAATATAATTATATAGGCTCAGAAACCTTTCAAAGGAACACACTGAAATGTATTTGTTGAAAGAGTGTTGGCACTTCATTCATAAGAGAAATAACAGTTTACCTTGGGTTTCTTAGCAGCAGGAGAATCAGTATTTCTGGCTACTTTTGATGTACGCTTCTTGCCCTTTCGCTTACTGTATGATTCCTCGTAATCATAATCTGAATCTGGATCAGGATCATCAAATCCTTCCATTTCTTGCATATCTAGTTCATCATAATACCATGCATCCTGCAAAATCAATACCATCCATAGTACCAAACCATGCAGTCAGTATGATTTGAAAATGTCATGTGACTGAGTAACCAGAGACAGGGTTTGGATTGGTAATCAGATTTATGGGATTCTTACAGATTGTAACTAAAACAGTCTCACAAATCTACATGCTTAACAAATCACTACAGCATGCACGAAGTCTTCTCAGTCTGCTGTGTCTTCACCCGTTGCCTGGTAACAGCTTCCAATGCCGTAGCTTCCTCAGCTTACTCAGCATTGCTACCCAACAGCTTACAACAAAGGGGTCTCCTCCATCTACAACATCTTTGCTGGGGGTGACTGTCTCAGACTTCCTGTCTCTGAGCTTGAACTCAACTCAAAACTGACTCAGCTGTGTTTCGATACTCCAGATATAGCTTCTGTACAGACCCACAGAGAACAATGCTTACCACAATTCCTCTACTGTTGCATGCATAACACAGGCCTACAAAAAAAAAA